TAAAAAAAAAAAATTTTTTTTGAAAAACTTAGGGGTATTTTTTTTTTTTTTTTTTTTTTTAATGATGGTGCAACCAATTAGGTTTAGGGGGCAGTTACATTTTCAGATAGAGCCAAGTTGGTTTGGAAAGATTCGTTTTTGTCCAACGATCAAAATTTCATAATGTTTAGAAACATTTACATGTTATTATGAAAAGTGAAGAACTCTGTAAGTAGGCAAAGAGTTTCACAGCACTATCAGTGTATGTATTTTAGTTCAACAAGCTGATGATGTGAAAGTTGTATAAGCTTCTGCAGCATTAACGAGCATCTCAAATTGGATTGTTGAGAAATGTTAGTGACATTTTTTTTTTTTAACTACTGACATTACATGTCATGCCATTTTTATCCCATTTAGACACAAGTACAACTACAAAAGTAAGTGTGATATCAAATCGAAGCTTCTAACTGCAGATTTCATAGTATATTAATGTCAAGTAAGTCCCCATTGAAACGGGTCTTCAAGAGAAAAAGGTTGCTGCTTTTTCTGAGCACTGACAGTATATTTCGAAGACCTTTGGGGGGATAATTATCATAACTTCCTAAAGCAATTTTACCTTTTGAAACATTTTATCTTCCAAAGACCATATGCGAGTTCTATTCAAATGAGCCATCAAGGGAAGTGTTTTCAAATGCAACATTTTACTGCAGTCTGCGCACACAGTGCATGTGGCATACTTTGCATTGTGTAGAGAGAATAATATTTAGATTTTGTAATAAAATGCACACTGAGCAGGTTAAACTTAGTCCTAACTCTGAGCCTGAAATGCACGTAAACATTTTGACATATAAATGATTAAAACTTCTCTCACAGCAATTGAGGACAAAGATCTGCAGTACATTATGTGCACTTACAGCTGAATCAGAACCATTCTGTTTTTGTCATTTAAAATAATGGAGTCCTTCAACAGCCAAGCCTCTATATAAATGGTTGAGGGTATAGCTTTTAAAAAAAAAGTGTGAAGAGTACATTTGCATTCATCTTAAGCTGTGAGGAATACATTTTTTCCAAGTCTGCCCCTCATACATTTAAAATAAGTCTTTCACTTAAAGGCATAGAAATGTTGTGCTTTGGATTTTTTACTTTTTGAGTTTCCTACAGAGACCGAGTGAAGAAAAACAAATGTTCACTTAACTTTAAGAAGAGTCAAGTGAAGTTTTACATAATTGGAAGATCATTCTAAGTGCTATTTATTTGCAGAAATGTATACAACCACTGGTTATAAATGACCATGGTCCATCTGAACACAATAATCAGTAACATTTTACTGATTGAAAAGCTTCATCAAGATTGTGAGTGATTCTTTTTTGTACGCGTGTTTTCAGAACTGTACTAGCATCAGTTGTACTCAAACAGCTACATTCCCGTCACAAGTCACATGGGATACCTTTCTTAGCTAAAAACAATAGGTAAAAACAATGTTGTCAATGTCATAATATCACATGAGTGGGCAACAATTAAACACGTCATTGTGTCTTCAAGCACTTTACTTGGCATGCCAATGATGTGAGTGACCATTCAGAAAGACACTCAAATGATTTATCCAGATCTGATGAGAGTAGTTAAAAGATACATATTGAAATAGGGGCAAATGAGTACTTAATACTTTTTAAACAGATTGTTAAATTTTGCCCTAATTGACTGTTATCAATAAATTTATATTTTTTTCACAAGTCAGTATTTCGTTAATTGTGACAGCAGCAAAATGTAGTCAGTGTTTAATTCCAAATATATGATGGTAGAAAGAAAAAAAAACAAAACAAAAAAAAAAAACTTAGTAACAATTTTACTTTAGTTATTTTACCTTTTCATATTTTGCCTCTCTCTTTTTTGAGTGCGTTCCTGAAGATGTTACTTTTAAATTGTTGAGGGTTTTCTTTTTTTTGTATACTATATTAACGCTACTTGTCTTCTATCACATCTAATATGTCATTCTCCCCAAAAAACATCTTTAGCAAGAATAAGGATCTAAGATACATTTTTATATATGTATATATTTTACAGTGAGAAAAACAGTGCATGAAGTATTCTGAATATTTGCAGAAAGGCATTGATTTTACAATTTAGACCTAAGATATATTATATGCAGTCTAACAGTCTAGCCTATATACAATTACACAATGCAGAGCTTAAAAAAAGAGAGTGGTTTATCTTGATAATCACATCTTTTAAATGCAGTTGCCAAAGTAATCACTGTTAGCTGCCTTCATGCATCATCCTCAGAGCCCAAGATAAGATAAGAGATTAAATTTAGCCTTGGATAACTAAGATGCTTAACTTTTGTACCAAAATAAAACTATGCCCATCTATCAAAAGAATTTATTGTTTTCATCATTGATCCAGCTACTGACTTGCCAACATGCCTGAACAGGTAGGATTTGGAAACTAAACTGTGTATTTCATGAAAAGGCAAAATTTTGCTGTTGGTCTATGAAGCAATAAATGTTTGTAGAGAGAAATACATTTCTCAGTTTCTTGTCAAATTTGATTCATGTGGTCTCATCAGGCCATCTAAACCTTGCTGATGAAGTGTTTCCAGGACCGGACCTTTTGGGACAGCATTTTATTTCTATCCTCCTCGGCTCTGGGACAAACTCCCTCAAACTCTAACATATTCAGAAACAGTTAGTTGCTGAACTGAACTGAAAACGCTATTCTTTTTCTGCATTTTTTTCTCACTTATTAACTATTTGGCTGGTCACTGATAAGTGATGAAGCATGACAACATTATATTACAGTTCTACACATTTCTGTTTATGTAATGCTTTTAGAATCTTTTTCATTTTACAAACATGATACATTAATTTAAATAAATCACTATGTATTGTCATATTCATGATTAGTGGTAAATAAATACATTGCTAGTCCTTCAATTACAAAGAACTTCATTGCACTTCAAAGAAATTTAATCTAACCCTATTATAATTTGTATTTAATAATTAATTTCAAACTGTTTTTTTTATTTTTTATTTATTAAATAAAACAAGTAACCAATGGGACAAGAGAAAGCATGTGCATAACCAAGAACAAAATAATTAACTTACCAAAAATTTTCTGTTTTAAAAGGAGTAGGAGGAACTGAACTCTTATTTAATCACCCCATTGTATGCATAATGCATTCAGATGATTTTGGTTATTGATGAATAATATAAAAATTAAGTTAGAACTGACTTATCAACACAATAATAAATAGCTTCTAATTTTATGCTTCTTTGTATATCAATTACAAAGTAAAACACCTTGAGCCTCAGTTTATATGAATGCCTTGAAAATGTTATAAAGTCAGAGGTATTAGAATACAATGTGGTGCAGCACTATCCCGTCTTTTGTGTCCCAGCCTTTTGTGAACTAGAATGATTCATAGGTCAATTTTAAGTGGCTTAAACAAAATTGCTAAAAAATATGTACAGGGGCTTGAGAACATGGGGAAAAAAACAGCTAGAGTTGCTAATAGAACTGTATACTGCAGGCAGATGCCAGATACAACGATCATGAATGAGAAGAGTCAACATGCTGCCCAATATATATATATATATATATATATATATATATATATATATATATATATATATATATATAATGTGTTAATAGTGCACAGCAGCGCGTTTTGGGCTCAAAAGGAAGAGCTTGCCCAGGGAACAATTCCTGCAGGAACCACAACTGCGTATATTGCAGGCTTATCAGGTTAGGCACAATGATTAATCGTGATTAATCACAATGCCAGAGTGTGATTAATCTGATTATATTTTTTAATTGATTGACAGCATTAATATAATAGGGCAGTATGATGCACTAAAGTTTTGTTTTTCTGTTATAAAATATGCATTTACCTGCAGTCACGATTTTTTTAAATGTGTATATGATCTGACCTCCAGGTCATAAAATTGTTTGTCTCAAGCGTACACTGACAAATTGGATTCACATGCACAAGATTTGGATGTGTTTAAATTAACACCAAACCATAGAATTTAAAAAGGGCATTTTTTTTTTTTTTTTTTTTGCTACAGTAAACCTTGCACTTAAAGCAGATTATATTGTCTGTTTAGGATGACTGTAGGTGAGGATTTCTGCTTATTTTCCATGCTCTCATGTGATTTGCTGTAGTTTGGTTTCTCAGACACTTGGAGCAATAAATTGCTTTCAAACTAATTAAATGAGCTTCACTGACAATGATACAGTTAGAAAAAAAAATATTCAGCAGAGCACGGTCGCATTTACTCAGTCTAATCAAATAGGGATAAGGTGGGGGGGGGGTATGTTTATTTGTAGGCATTTACGTTTACTATTTTAGTTTTCAAAAATTCTCCAAGACTCACCTATTATTTTTGCTTTCCCAGATAAGCTGTACAAAATGTTTTCATCAAAACATGCAAATTTGGAACAGAAAAGTCAATCCCCTGCTAACCACCCATTATTTGTTAAAAGAAATATATATATATATATATATATACATATATATATGTTTAGGTAATTGTGGGAATACTTTTAATCCTTTCCCTGAATAATTCAAACAAGTAAACCTCTCTTACCTCCCAGGGTGGCTGAGATGAGAATGTGGGTTCCATATTTCTTAATGATAGTATCAATAAACTGCTGAGTGGTGGGTCTTCGGCCCAGCAAGCGTACGCTGCGCTGGAACTCAGGCATGAGTGGCACGGGGTTCCGGATGAGGTCCCTTCTCTCGATAGCAGTATTTCTCACCTTCCAACGTGCAAATTCCCTGATGAGTTAAAAGAAAAAAACAACTGCTCTCATGTAAATTGTCTAGTAAGTTCACACACAAAAACACTGATTTGAATTAAATATTAAACAAAAAGACTAAAGACCTACACCTCGCATTTTTAAAATATCTATTAAAATGTTTTGCAGTATTTTGTGTTTTCTTTGTTTCATATCACTTCTTAAAACTGATGTTGCTTTTGTTGTAATATCACCATCATTCTGCCCTATTTAACAGGATGTGCGTTCATAGAAAAACAAAAAATCTCAATAGTATTCTCTATTATGCACGCCTATTCCGTTACAACAATAAACCAGACAAGCCTATGAGCATTTTAGCAGAGTATCAAAAAACCAAAGGCAAAATTGCTCCCTTATCTGCTGTTTCTTTACATATTGCATTGTAAAAATATATTGTATTTTGCAGAAAGAAACTTTCAAATAGTGCTCCAAAAGTTCTTTGGTGGAGTTTTATGTTTGTTGCCAAGTTCCCAAGAAAGTGTGTAACACTTTTTTAAGTACACATTAGACATTACAGACATCGTTCAGTGTGACAGTTAAGAAAAAAATACAATGATTTTTAATTGAACATTTTTGAAAACTAGACATTATTTGTCTTCCATTTCACAATTATTAATCAGTGTTTGTTGTTCCTGTGATGGACTGGTGACCGGTCCACGTTGTACCCCGTCTCTCACCCTTTGACAGATGGAGATAAGCACCAGCACTCCTCCCAACCCACACACAGGGTGTAGGAAAATGGATGAATGAATGTTTGCTGTTCGATCACATAAAATCTCAGTAAAATATCTTAAGCTTAGTGTTTGTGACATGACATAATAGAACAAAATTCAATTTATTTTGCTCATAACCAACCAACCATTCAAATTGTTACAAAACAGTACAAAACTGTAATTTTGTCAAAATAGACCTCTGCTCCGAGAAAGTTAGATTGTTTTGTTGTTTTGTTTTTGTGAAAAATTACAGTTTCATTTCAGTTATTTAAAGGTACTGGAAAATTCACTAAAAATTCACATAACTCACTAATTATTGATGGAACAAAAAGTGAATGAATCCGAATTGCTTATATGATTTTATATCTCATATTTTGAGATATTAAGGAATGTTTTTTTAAGTGTGTGAATGGTGAGATTAATTATGGCAAGTGTCTGACCTTAAAGTGCATTAAAATCTCCACTGGATAGGAAACATCCAAAGGGCATCATAATCTCTATAACTTAATCCTAAAAGCCTGCTCTAATTAAAATTGGAGCTGTGTTTATTAAATAAATAGGTAAACCCACTCTATGAAAAGAAAAGGAACCCCACAAACAAATGGAAATGAAAAAAAAAATACAATAAAAATACAAGTGCAGATGCTGGAGTTATTCCAAGCTGCTTTTTAAGAAGATTTTTCGAATTCTTTTAGCTGGATTTTAATCGCCCAAAAGGATTTTTTTTTTTTTTTTTAATCAGTCTTAGGAAAGATGAAATGGAGGATTGTTTCCTTTCAGCGGAAAAAAAACAACAACAAAGAAACAACTGTGCATGCACAAACTAAGTTCTTTGTAGGCCAAATGTAGAGATGCTGCTCAATCAACCAATCAATCAAGAAAAAAAGAGGAAGATAGATGTATGGGTATACATTAAATAGATTGGATCCTTGTCTAATTGTTTAGATTTTCTTTTAAAATATATATGTTTGGTTGTCTTTATGTGAAATCAGTTGCCGAAATCCGGCTTTCTTGCTTCTACTTGGAGTTACCATGACAGCTAGAAAAGACAAAGATGTATTTCAGAAGCAAATAAAGCATTATCATGAACATTGTTGTCTTCCAAATAAAATGGACTTTTAAGTTTTCATGGATTTCCAAACAATGCTGAATTAAGAATACGGTGGCTTGTAAATATTCCTCGCGACAAGTTAAAGCTAACGGCGCACAACAAAGTTTGCATCCTTCACTTCTCCCCCTTTACTTGGTCTCTGTTTGACACTAACGACAACAAAAAAATAAAATAAAATAAACACAAAATAAGGTAAAACATTGTCCGTTAGAATGAATTAAAATGTTTAGATATTTAAATAGCAATTTTTGATAATGAAAATGTGCAAGAATATTATCCACTAGCATAAGCTAAAGTTAATGTTAGCCACAAAGTTTAAAGAAAGTAAAACTCACCATCGTGTTTGTGAATGTATAACGAGCCGTACATCTTAAAACCTTTCTCCAGCTTACTTGTTGGGGCTTTGGATCGAGGTACATCATTAACTGTTACCTTAGGCCAGTGGTTCCCAAACTTTTTCTTCTGCGCCCCCCCAGTGGTTTCCAAACATTTTCTGCGCCCC